GCTCCCGCGCAAAATGGTATAAATTTTCCGCTCGAACATGGGGAGATACAAGCCCATAGTTTTTGTCTTTCCTGCATGCCGTGAGTAGAGGGGTATCTGAACGTCGACGCTCAATGCGACCCCCAGCGGAAACGCGCACCGCCAGCCCTCCCCCAAGARACAACAAACTTGCCAAACAACAGGACGCGCGGCCACCCGAAAAAAGAAAAAAACAAACACAAAAAGCCTGTTGAAACGACGCGCGAYGGCCTGGACCGCGCCTACGCTTCCTCCAGCCCCTCTTTTTCATTTTCGTTKAGGCCGCTCCAGGCTCACGACTATTCCCAACACTGGCAGGCGCGTTCTCATGTGGGAGCGTCATGCGAGACCCGCTATTCGCTTAAAAAGAGGAGGGCACACTGAAACCATTTATTTTTCTCGTTCTTCTTTTAACTCCCCCTTCACTGTGCCTGTCACATACAAAGCTCGCCACGTTGATGAAGTTGAGCGCGAGCTTCCCTCATCCCAGTGTGCCATAACGGCCCACTTGTACGCTGTGAGAAAGAGGCAGAGTAAAGGGGGAGAGGATAAACACAGKGAAGAGAGATGGAGAGAAAACAAACAAAGACCGACAAAGGGAAAGTWAGGGAAAATACAGACTGTGGAATGAAGATGAAGGCAAAGGAGAGGATAAGAAAGAGTTCAAGAATGAGTCTGTCCTTGACAACAGAGTGGACATACATTGTGAGGATGAGTATATTTCTCCCTCTCTGCCTACGGTTTACCGGGCAGCTCTGTGTGACGATATATTATATATATATTGTCACATAACTATGAACTAAGGCCGTCCTGTCCAGATTTGACAGGTAATTGAATTGGTTGGGCTTCAAAGAATTAGCCTTAAAAAAAAAAAAAAAAAAAAAAAGAGCGCACTTTGCGAAACAAACTGCAGAAACGAAAAAATAAAAAACAAGACAAACATGAAGGGAACCATTTCATTTTTCTCTCTTCTTTTAACTTCCCCTTCACCGTGCCTCTCACGTACAAGGCTCGCCACRTTGATGAAGTTGAGCGTGAGCTGCCCCCATCCCCGTGTACCATAACGGTCCACTTGTACGACGTGAGAACGAGGCAGAGTGAAGGGGGAGGGGATAAACACAGGGAGGAGAGATGGAGAGCAGACAAACAAAGTAAGGGAAMGTAACGGAAAGCAAGGGAAAGTAAGGGAAAGTAACGGAAAGTAAGGGAAASYAAGGGAAACTAAGGGAAAGTACGGAGTGTGTATATCTATATTGTATATATAAATTATAAATATATGTAAAATTTGTAAATATATATAAAAATATCTATGACAGCACGGTACTCCTGCTGTGCCTCATGTGACAATGATAACTGAACAATACGAGTGCACATCCCGGAGAGTATTGTGTCACTCACCTCGTTCTCGCACAAGTTTGCGGACCCTCTTTGTGATGACCTTCTCATCAAGATCATCTATGTCAACCTCCTTCATCTCCTTATCCGCAAGCTGGTCTTCTCTTCGTCTCCTCCTGGCTGCGGCATCCTCTTCACTCACCAACACCTCACCTGCCTGACTACTCTTTGCTTTCTCTGTCCGCCGTCTGATGAGCCTGTCATCGGCAGGTTCATCTTCTTCTTCAAGGATCTGCAGTTCCTCTTTCAATTATTTCTCTAACTTTTCTTTCATCTCCTTCTTCATTCTTTCTTCTTCCATTTGCATTTTCTTTCTTTATTTCTTCCTCTTTCTGTCTTTTCCTTTCTTCTCTTTCTTTTTTCTTTTCTGCCTGACGGCGATCCACTTCAGCCTGCTCTGCAGGTGTTAGCCCTGGCTTTATTCCTTGCGATCTCGTCATCATACGGGAGGTGCATACCCTCCCGAAACCCAGGGGAAAAAGAACTTTGAACAAAGGACCCATCAGGACAGAAAGGGCAATCAAGCCGTGCATCGGGAAGTCGTCAACCATGGTGGCACTTAGCACAGGGAACCCTCCGCTGGTCCCACCAGGTAAGCCTCCCAACTGTTCCTCAAGTTACTCTAAGTGGATGGGATGAAACAACTTTGCTTTGTCTGTTTTTTCTTTTCCAGACTCTGGATGTCGCTGTTTCAATAACGAATTTCAGAATTGGGATATACAATAAGACTTTTTTTTTTTTTTCTTTCCTTTGCTGTCTGTCGTCAACTTCAGATATTGGACTAATTAAAACATATATCACACTTGATCTTGTCTGGTGATGAATGTTGTTCCTTCTTTTTTTTCTTTTATCTTCTTCTCTAACCCTGTCTGTTTGTCCTTCTGCGCAGGTAGAGCTGGAGTGGTACTCGTTCAGAGGCCTGGATAATACTTCGATCCCAACTTGTCTCTGCCCAGGTTAGTTATGCCTTATACCGTACTTGCATACTGATGTGGCAGACTGCCACCATCTCCCAGCATACTCTCCCCTTAACTACAACGCGGACTCTGGACTGGAGGGTAGAAGATAGAAGGACTCTGACCACTCTTGACTCTGACGTCGCCAGACCTTTTGACCTCGATCATCCAGACTACAGACCCTGTGACTTGATTTGACAGCAGCAGCAGCTACCCTAGAGGGGATGAGGAGTAGAGATGCACACACACATGCAGCCAGGTAAGGGGTAAAGGGTGCTTCTCTCTTTTGCAGCGATCGTCGATGAAGACTCCTCGTCGCTCCGCACTCCACGCTTCAGGTAAGTATAACTTCGGCCCCTTCCTCTTCGGCCTACTCCTCTCCCATATCCCTATCCACCTCTTCTTCCACCATCGCTCTTCTTCTTCATGCCAGCGCAGTGAGTACAACAAGTATCTGCTCCGATACAGAATTGCAAGGAACCTGACTGTTCACAGCTTGCTCGAGTGCATCAAACCGCATGCATACATGTCATCACACGTACAAAGTGGTCTCACACAAAACCAGATTGAGAGGAGATAAGAACCAAGTAGCGCAGCTTATATTATCAATGTCACTTAATACAAAGATTATCATGAGTTCCAGACTTCAGCGCCAACAAGAGGTAAGTCTCCCTCGTCATACAACAGCATGGGACCTGGCTCAGCCAGCGTCCTCCTTTAGATCACAAGTGTGGCGCCAACAGGTAAGTGTCCACCATATCCAGACTCACTCCCTGTCTTCTCTCTCTTGCTCTCTTCTCTCTCAATAACTCTGTCTTGGTTCTCTTCCCTTCACTATGCACGCACACTCTCACCTACGAAGATCTACTCCGAATGTCACTCACTGATAACCCACTACTGACTATCCCTACTACTACTAACATAGGCTGGTGCAGCTATGGCTTCCGTGCAGCCAGCGCCCATCCTCATTTCCTCTCTAGCGCAACTACTCCTTCAGCGCCCAACTCTCTGCACGATAGCGCACAAGTGCCTCAGCACTTCCACGCACCAATGCCCATGAGAATCTGTCTCTAGGGGAGGCTGCCTCGTTTCTTATAGTGCTGGCCTCCCCTGGCGAGGTCTGAATTTTGTCTGTCCTGGTCCTTTCCCAGTCCCAGCCTCTGTGTATGTGTCCCAGATCCCTTTCCTTTAGGGGTTGCTGCTGCTGCGGCCTTCAGGCCTTGATTTCGGACTCCCAATCTGAATCTAGACTTTCCTTCTGACTTGAATCCGGACTGGAACTTAACTCTTTGACTTCTGTTAGACAGACACATCCAATGCACGAACAGACACTCTTCCTGCACGAACAGACACATTGACTGCACGTACAGACACATCCCTTGTTTGAATAGACATGACTTGCATTGCCCCTGGCGAACAGATGTGACCTCCAAATCTAAACATGGTGACTGTTCGTCCAGGGCCCAACCATGACCTTTGACATTGTCTTTACTTTAGCCAGGATGTGACCTTTGACCCAGAGAACATGTCTTTTAATCTGCTTTCACGAATTGGGCTCTGGGCGAGGGACCCCCAATATGCTGCTTTCGTCGAACAGGGGCTGAATCGGGTAAAGGCCCTTTTAAAGGGGATAAATTTAACGAAAAGATTGAACCTCAGACGTTTGGGTAGCCATCATGGTGGACTCCTTTGTGAACAAACGAATCAAGTTCAAATTTTGGAGCAGCGTACTTGCAGCGTGGAAGAAAGTAAAACCGGACATACACGCAGAACCGAAGTCCAAAGAAGAGGTCAAGAGACAACCGTTGTTTGATAACCCCCATATCAAGAACGTGGACAACAGACCCTTTTCGGCAACTGCCGCTCCAGGCAACTTCGGGATGAAATGGACCCAGAGAGGTGTTGCTCAAATCGGAGACCTGTGGGACGAGCTCACCGGCCAATGGCATCCGCACAGCCACCTGAGAGGGAGGTTGAGGCAACTACCACATCAAGAAGTAAGACTGAGATCGCTAATTGTCGCTATTCCGAACAACTGGAAAACGCTGTTGGGCCCGCCGGGTGTAAACCCAACAGGCACATGGTTTAGACCAACAATAGAGGAGGACGTTGCTAGCTTTTATAGACTAAGTAGTTGGCGAGTAGACGAATCGGGGAAATGTGAGTTAGAGTATAGACGAACTACAGAGCATGGCGATATCTTGGTTTTATATCAGACTATAACGCGATGGGGTTTACAGGGCTTAGAGGAAATCCGCGTTCGGGCGGTGAGAATGCAAGGAAGGGGAGAACCCTCAGTGTACAAGTTGATAGCGGGGGGGCTGGCGAAGAGACTGCTCAGAATCGACCCATTGAAATGGGGCTGGCATGTGGGGACAGAAAGTATCCTGGATCTCTCAAACCTGTCTGGGGATCTAGTGACCACTAAGCTGACAAAAGGAGAGGGTCTGAAGAGGAAAGTGATAAGTCGCTGGGAGACAGCACAACCCTGTATACAACAACCGTCCGAGAGGGAGCTGAAGAGACTTTGGGAACAGCTAGCTCAGATCCCCTCGCAGAGATTCGCATCTCTCTTGTGGCTACAGTCGCACCTATCGGTTCCTACAACAAGATGGCTGAGCAACAGGGGAATGGAAGTAAGGTTAGAATGTGACAGATGTAACCGGCCAGTCGAAACCATGACCCACCTATGGTGGGCCTGTCCTCGTTGACAGAAATGGTGGACCTGGTGGTTCCGGCACTGAGCCAAAATGTCAGGAACAAACTATGCGCAGGATGAGCGGTGGGTGCTATTAGGAAAACTCCCCGAAGGTGGCCCCAGCCGTAAAGGTTGGGGGTACATCGCACAAGTAAGCAGAGCGGCATTGATGTGGGTAATATGGATGGACAAAAACGGGGAAAGGTTCCAGGGGCAGGGACTGGAAGAGAAACAGGCGGAGAGGATGTTCAGAATGACCCTGAAGATGGAGATCAGGGCAGATTGGAGGAGAAAGGTGCTGAAAGGGAACTGTGAATCAGGGATGTTGTGTTTTGCTGAAACATGGGCAAGACCAGGAGGACTAGCTACGATATCTGATAGGAAGCTCAAGACTTCGCCTTGGCTCGATTAGGAATAGGGGTAGGATGTAGACGGAAGAACCAGGCGCACTTGGTTCCAGTGGGCGGTCACTGTAGACCGCAAAGGGAAGGGAGGGAGGAGAGTGCCAGGCTACCACATAAGGAACACAGGTTCCTCTCGACCGGCATTAGGCCGAGCCACAGACTCAGACCGAAAGATAGGTCTGAACATAGTAGTATGTAGATAGGGTAGGTAAAGGTAGTAGTAGAAGTGTTACTGAAGGACAGTTCTCAGGAGTTAGATCCGGTAAGTAAGGGTTGAAGTTAGGATAGAAGGTAAAAACTTGGTGGAATGGAAGGTAGAGTAGAACTTGAATTTGAAAAGAGTGTTTTGATAAGCTAAACCGGCTGAAGCTGTCGGGATAACTCCGGGTGGAATTGTGAGGTCCCCGGCCTCAATCCAAATGTTGTTTGCAACAGTGCTGGTCGCCGGATGGACCGGGGAACCCTACCCCATCCGCGGTCCTTCCGGTTGGACCGGCCGGTGGCCCGGGCCAGTTCCCGGTTGCCCCCAGCGCATTTTCGCTGGGGGCTGAATTTTTTTTTTGTCGGCGCGTATGTGTTCCCAAGGCCTCGTGGGGGCGGACCCTGCCCCGCAATTTCGAAACCGGGTCCTGTAGGCACGGATTTTTCAAGTACAGAAAGTCGCCAATCTTGGCCGCCGATCGTCGCAGATCAGCGGCAAAGATCGGCCAGGACCCCATTTCTATAAGAAAAATGGGCAGACGATATCCGCCGCTGATCTATGCAGATCAGCAGCGGAGAACAGCCATGCGTTTTTCCTAAGATGTGGGTCGGGTAGGCCCCTAATCCAGTTTGTCATCTTGTGGTCCAATGGACCAGTTACCATTGGCAACATCTGATGCTCTTTCACCCTCAGCCACAAGGGGAACACTATGCTTCTGATGAGACTCTGCTGAGATTATATCCTTCTGCGACGTCCCTGCCATCTGTGGAAAAAAGTTATGGGTTCGGATTTTGGAATTGTGATTTCAGAGCGGTCCGAGGTGCAATCCCAAGAATGGACCTAAAATATAGGGCGTTGCTGCACTACTCTCGACATGCACAAAAGACAAAAATCTTGGCGCTGTATCTT